TAGATGGGTTAATTATCTATATCTATATCTATAGTAATATAAAGAGGTTGTTGGAAAAATACTTTTATAGTAAGTTTGACTAAAAAAATAAATAGTTTGACTTTTTATTAATGGAAATTTCAAAAAAAACACATGTACCAAAAAAATTGAGATTTTTATGGTAACAAATTTGGAGATTTTAATGGTAACAAATTTAATTGATATCCCAAAAAAATTGGATATTTTTATGGTAACAAATTTGGAGATTCCTATACCAAAATCTAATTCATTTTAAATATTAATTCATAGGAATCTACTTTTATTGGTAACAAATTTAAAGATTGTTATGCCAAAAAATTAAGATTTTGAATTTAGATATTCCAACAATTACGGATTTTTTTCTTGTTCAAATTAATGTTGTAAATCAAACAAAAATTTATTCCAAAAATAATGGATGTTATATCAACTATTGATAAACTCCAATCCCATAGGAGATTTCTATGGGATTCTTATGGTAACAAATTGAGATTCTTATGCCAAAAAAATGAGATTTTGAATTGAGATATCCTAACAATTTCGGATTTTTTTCCCTTCAAATTCATGATGTAAATCAAACAAAAAATTATTCCGAGAATAATGGATGCTATACTAAATATGGATAAACTCCAATCCATAGGAGATTTTTATGGGTTTCTTATGGTAACAAATTGAAGATTCTTATGGTAACAAATTTGGAGATTCTTATACCAAAATTTAATACATTTAAATATTAATCCCATAGGAATCTATTTTTATTGGTAACAAATTTGAAAATTCTTATGCTAAAAAATTGAGATTTTGAATTGAGATATCTCAACAGTTACGGATTTTTTTCCATTCAAATTAATGTTATAAATCAAACAAATAATTATTCTGAGATAATGGATGCTATACTAAATTAATATCACTGGACCCACACGTTAATATGATATTAATTAGATAGATAAATTACGTAAATCTTTCCAAACAAAATGCGTTCCAATATTGTTAACCAATTTAATGGGATTTTCTTAACTAATTTGATAGGATTTTGGTAACCACGGGATTTTGTTAGCTTTTCGTGGAAACACGAATCTTCATTATTGATAAGGTTTGATAAGATTTTGTTTCCAATTTTTTTTTTCCTCTCTCGAAAATTTGATAAGGTTTGATAAGATTTTGTTTCCTTTTTTTCTCTCTCTCGAAAATTTGAGTCGTGGATTTGAAAATAAATAAATAAATAAAATAAGCATATCATATTGATAAAGTTTTAGTGTGGGCATAAAAATCAATTTTGATTTGATTGAACTTTGTTTCATATAAACCTAAGGGAATCAGACGTTTGAAAAAATAAAATATTAATAGTAAATAATCATACCATATTTGCAAGGTTTGTTTTGGAATATTGAGGCATAAAAATCAATTATGATTTGATCACATTTTGTTTTATAGAAGTTATCTTAGAAAATTTTACACGTTTCAAAAAATTAAAGATTATAATTTTGTAAATTAAAGTTTTAGATTTGTCCAAATAAATACAAAAATTCTATGGTGCCCATATGGGCGCCATAGAATTTCAATCTATCCAAAAAGTCTTACCAAATTTCATTGTAACAAACTCCATTATTTTTGGCTACATAATCTTCTAAATATTCATTCGTCCCTCACAAGTGAATCACGTTCCACATTTTTTTTTATTTTTTTAACAAAACCGATAACACATAATTTTAGAAGTCAATCATAATCATAATAAAAGAAATCGGATCGGATCATATTAAATACCTTACGTAAATATTTTTTTATTTCCTAGACATATGACACATACACATGACTATATAAACATCACCAACATTGAACAAAAAGTATTCGACATCCAATATATCCCACAAAACAATTTTTTCTACAAGCTTTTACATCACCATTGAAAATGACTTCGGATTTTGGAGTAATCAAGGATATCAAAAGATCCAATAAGCCACCAATCAAGCTACGCATAATTAGGATGTTCCAACGAGTTGAAGACGTACACAATTACCGAAATGTTCTTGAGATTATCTTTTATGATTTTGAGGTAATATATTCATTTAGTATTATTTAAATGCATCATTTTATGCAACATCTTATAAATGTCATATACATAAATTAATAAATTAATATACAAAACTAGAAATTAACAATAATAATAAATAAATAAATGTCATATTATTACTGAATAGAATATTGTAGAGAATATAATTTCATATTATCTTAAATAATTTTATAATATTTCAATAAATAAATATTTTTTTGTATTGCACCCCGTGCATCGCACGGGTATCAACACTAGTTTATTAAAAATAACACTTTTTTTTTTGCAAATCTTTTTTTTCTTTATTATAAACGAAAATAGTCATTTTTTCTTTTACTTTTCAACAAATATATTTTTTTAAAAAACACCAATATTATAGTAACTAAAATGGTATAAATATTATTTTTATTGTAAATTGTCGGATTTCCCAACAATAATTAATTGTTTTTTATTTCTTTAACGTCATACTTTTTTCCCGTAAATTCTTTTAATAAATTTTGTATTATTTGCATCAATTTTGGCGTAAATTTCATATCTTTTTTCTAAATTGGTCTAATCTATTTAACTTAAATAAAAGAAAAAATTGCCCATAACATGCTATTTTTTTTAATAAAATAAAACATGTGTACAAATGAATGCAAAATAAAATAACATTTAAAAAAAATATTTCTAATAAAAAATAAAATTTTATCATTTATATTTTATATATATTAACATTTAAAATATAACAGTAACTTANAGGCATAATCCAGTGATTACAAAAACAGTTATACAACTATAAAGAGTTGAAAAAATGCATAAATGGGCAATGAACAAGTCATGCCCTCACACGGCTCAAATAGCTTAAGCCTAGACAAAGCTCACTAACATAAATGAACAAAGTAGCAAGAAGATAAATGAAATGCAATCGCCAACACCTTCACCACTAAAGTCTTCCTCTTTTCAAAGGAGTGTTAAACCACTTGATGAACTTAAGGCACTGATAAAAAGCTCAACTTGTCTTACTTTCTTGGAAAAAGGTTTATGAGGAGTAGAATCCTAATTGATTTGCGAGGGGATTCTTAATTGATTTGTGTAGAATCAATAGTTTCGTATTAATCAATTGGGATTCAATAACTATATAATAAACAATAATAATTATTATATTTGAAATAATTAAATAAAAAAAAATTAATTGATAGGCGTTGACTGCGGGCCGACGGCATTGGTCATCGATCGTCCGTCAATGGATGTTTTATTATATAATTAATTTAATATAATAATTATTGTTTTTCATTATATAATTAATGTGATATAATAATCAATATTTTTGTTAATAATTAATGTAATAGATAATGCATATTTCGTTCACATATATGCATACTTAGTAAATATCAATTGCATATTTTGACAATATATTAGTTTATACAAAATGCAGATTTAATTCATACATAATCCATATTGCGTTTATAAACAATGCATATTTAGTTGATAACTATTGCATATTATACTTGCACATTTAATTAATATATAATGTATATTTCATACATACCAGTTACATATTTTGCGTGCACATTTACTTCATACAAGTTATATTTAGCTTATCCATAATTTATACTACGATCAGAGTCAACATCAATGGTAAACATTAGTAATCAAATCAATATTTAAAGAATTAAAAAAAAAATAGAAGATTAAATTTTAGCCCCATTCTCATTCTAAGAATAGGGACCCATAAATCATTTTAACAAATATGCTTGTTTTTAGCCACATTCTCATTCTCATTCTATTCAATATTCTTATGTTAGTTCTTATGTTAAGGTCGACCTAATGATTAAACCAACATTCTTATGTTAGTTCTTATGTTAAGGTCGACCTAATTCTTATGTTAAGGTCGACCTAATGATTAAACCAACGTATTATTTTAACAAGTATGCTTATTTTTATTAGATTATGTCATACTTTAAAAATAATATAAGAAAATATAATATTTAATATTTTAACAAGTGTTTTTATTTAGGAAATATAGACGGTGGCAAACGGTTAATCCATCTCATGAGATTTTGTGCTTCTATGTGCATCTGCAAACTGTATATCATTTTGAACCATCTTTATTATGGCGAGTGCACAAACGAAATTGAAAGCAGCACAGATGAAAAACAGAGAAATGGCGTTGAAGTGCTAAAATTTCTTATTATACAAAGATGAAAATAAAATGGCAAAATGTGAAGAAATAGACAATCTACGCTAGTATTTTGGTATCATTTATTCCTCCTAGTCCTAGACAACAACCTTAAACTTTGCTCTTAACATACTTCTCCAAGTGATCTAAATAAAAATTAAAAAAAAAAAAAAAGATAAAGAAAAAACATACATCCTTAAATCTCTGTTCTTTCTAAACTGATGAAACTAGACCAACCACAGAATATTGAACTTTGGAGAAGCTTAACTCCACTCGAAGGGTACATATCAGTCAGACTTGGACAAAATGCAGGATCATGTGATTTTTTCACTCGCACTTGATCGAGCGATAAATGTGGCGTACAAAGAACAAAGCAGCACGGAAACCTACAGCTCCAAGCATTAGGAAGAAAGCATAGCATATACAAGCCATGTACCCAAAGAAAAATGAGGTCTGCATGAAACCCGACATATCTGACCGTGCATAGTAGTAATAAAGGCAATACGCATATATAAACAAGCCAGTTGATCCACCGCAAAGAAAAGACCTGATGAGATGGAAAAATCAAGAATGTATTAGTTGGGGTACGGATTTCATATAACTTCCGTGCATCACTTTAGGGCAGGCCAAATTTAAGCTACAGTTCTGAATCAAACCCAAATACTCACAGAAAGAAAATAAAGAAATAAAGAAAGAAGGCAAGAAAGGGAAGAAGGAAGTGGAAAATGGGTAAACCAAAGGATTTCTACATGTGCTCTCCAAATGGGGAGCATATACAGATATACCTTCTATCTTCCCGTCTAATAATATACGTATACAATACAATATATATTTCATTTTCATCCATGAATTTATAGAAAGCAAATGGCAGGGGATTAATATGTTCTGGATCAATAATTGCCATAGCACAGCATTAATATGTTATTGATCAATAATAGTCCACACACAGCACTCGCAGAATTAGCAAGTCCCACAACCCACCATTCCAGGTTGAGGGTTTTGAGGTTCAAGGGCCATACTGAGTTCTACTATATGAAATAATGGATTTGAGTGATGTTGCCAAACAAACTAATTCATAATTCAAAATGTTTAGAGAAAACATTTTCTTTTACACAAAAAGGTTACAACCAAACTCCCATGCAACTTCAAGCATCAACAGGAACAAAACATGTAGTCAATCATGGGTCAGGAAATCAAAAGCTCAGACAAAGGACACAAAACAAGGGGCTGATTAGTAGCATAACTTCTAACTTCCAGGCAGAAATATGAAAGGAACCAATTCCAGAAGCGAAAAAGAATCATTCCAAGATAAAAGGAAAAACACAACATAATAAAAGCAATCTCAAAATAGGTGTGATCATACCTATCAAAAAAAAAAAAAAATTACATAAGTGTGATCATGAAGGCACAAAACTGGCAGCACAAATGCTAATGTTTGAACATACCTCCACCACCATTCATGATCTTCAGCAGCAAGTTGGAAATATGTCAGGGCCACGGTGATAAATGCAGTGACAATCAAGAGGATAATGAAGACTATGAACAAAATACTGTAAATGGTGTAAATCCTGTGACCCCAGACACTGGCAAAGATATAGTAAAGCTCAATATAAATGGCACTGAATGGCAGAAATCCTGCCATGGCCATCTGTGGCAGAGTCCCACGATACCAAGGCAGTGGTGGGATCTCTCTCGGATATTTTGTGGTACGACACGGAGCTTGAAACTCAGCCTTACTATTTTTCCCTGCTATTCCTCCCAAGACTAATAAAGGTGATGTCACAAGAGCCCATATCAGGAAAATCACCACAATGGTACCGAATGGAAGAGCTGCAGTAGCATGGTAAGCAATGGCAACAGTGTTAAGAAAGCAAAATGTGAGAAAAAGCGGCCCACAGAACAAGCCTCCAGTCAATAACAAATTCCGGACCTGTTACGCAACCAAAGAAAAAAGTAACTTCTTTAAATAATATGAAATTAAACAATAAACAATTCCATTGAATGTGAAGTGAAAACAAGTGTACTAGTGGGCATCCATGAATAACAACCAGCATGTCAATTCCAAATGATAATAAAGAAAGGGTGACGGATCCAATTTAGTTACCCAATTTGTTCCCTCTAACTGGCAATAGAAAGAGGCTGCTGTATAGCCTGCAATACCGGATGTAAGTGCATATATCACGACCAGTGCAGTAAAAAGAGCTCCTCGATTGTAGGGATAAAATACACCAACAAGAGCGAGCATGAATATAAAAGTTGCCCTGGAAAAGAAAACATAATCATAAATAAAACCAGCATTAAACTAATGAAATAACTATGACTAAACTTGCCCAAAATCTTGAGAAGACCAAATAAACCTCCCAGGCATACTTACAGTGTAAAGAGTTGTGTGCCACTTCCAAGGGCGGCAGCAAACAAAGATTTGTATTTTGGGAACCTGAAAACATCACCATGAATGTATTTCCATCCAGTTTCTTCTTGGTCGTCTGCTGTCTCCTCATCATGGGCATACCTTCACCATAAAAAAAATAACATCAATAGCAAAATTTTTTTTAACTACTGCTCAGTAACAATATTTAGCATCTCCTTAATATAATAGAAAGGAAAAAGTTCTTACTTGACAAAATCGTTTTTAAGCACTCTCATCAAAATCGTAGCGAGAAAACCCGTAAGAAGAAGAACAGTCACACATGAATTGATTATTGAAAACCAATGGATCTCTAAGTGCCGAGGAAGTGAAGAAGAATGGGAGTATTTCTCCATCCTCTTCTCAAAAGGAACACTAGTTTCCTTCCATTTAGCTGAGTACATGAAGTCCACATCGACTTCCTTATCATCAGTAAGGTCCACAAGGGCACTAGGATCTGTACGTGCATTGATCTCAATAACACGATCCTTGTTATAAAATATTTCGAAATGGAGATGCTGAAATAGGTAATATTTGTATTCGCTGGGGTCGGCTTTTCCTTCCTTGTCAACCTTTCCCAGGAAACCCCATATAGGCAAGTCATCATAATACATTTGGAAATAATAGTCCTTTGCAACAGCTCTTCGAAACTCAGCAACTTCTTTCTGTGATAATTTCTTTTTACAGATGACTTCAGACTCTTTGTCAACTAAAAAGTCAAGCTTGTAAGGAGCACTGACCAATCGATCACCATTTAGCACTTCACCAAGTGCTTCACTTTTGTCCTTCACATCAACTGACAGGAAGAAATGTTAATATTTACAATGTAATAGACAAAGAAAAAGCAAACATGGGAAGATGAAAATACCTGGTGAACAGAAGGGAAGATCAAAGTATCGGTATGTTTCACTGGGAATCAGAAGAAATCACAGTGTAAATTGTATGGAAATTACTAAAATGATTAAAAATAAAAAGGTAATCAAGTAGTAAAACCTAAAAACATAAAGAAATACACCAGATATGATATTTCAAAGATTATCACAATGTTCCCTCTGATTGTTTCTCTGACTTTCAAATCTAAATATATATACAATGACCACCACAGGACAGAGACTATGAATCGTTCAATGTCCATACTAATTCCTAGTTGTCAAGCACAGAGAATTTTTCCAAGTTCCATCACACAAGTTTCACCTATCGCAAAGGTGTTTCATGTGGCTGCTCAACATTTCCAGCAGAATATTCATATTTCAATAGATACCAGCTCATATCGATAAAATCAAATCAGCAAAACACCTAATCTCCCTCGAAAACGTTCATCATGAAACTGCAACGAGGACCTCATCAAAGCCTCTCAACCCAACAACCCATTCCAGCACAAACACAAATTCTAACGAATACAGCGAATCTGACCAAATTCATGCCCCACAAAGATCACCCAAACAGCATATCAACACACAAACCAAGCATTTCTGATATAAACAAATCACACACACATAACACATACAGACACCAGAAGCAAAAACAAAAAAATGTTTTACCTAGGGTTGTGAAACGGCCCGACCTTGTTCGCATAGAGCGGAACCGGATCACCAACCTTGTATTTGTGATCCGACCCGTCCGACCTCACACGGACTGCGGAGCACACAAGCAGCAAAACGACGACTTGCCAGCCCCCTCCTCCCGCCATTTTTTCTCCGCACGACGCGCGCACAACTGAGCGAATGGTTTTACACAGTTCAGTGTTAAATCGGAATATATGTTGAATTGAGAAGGAGAGAGATGGAGCTCAGAGACAGATCTGGATCTCTCTAATAAAGAATATGAATTTCTGAAGGAAAGATATCGAGTATTTCCACGCGCGTCCAGGAGAGAGTGGGATGGAAACAGTTGACAAAGAATTATGACTTCAGAACGGAAGAAACGAGGTGGATAGGGACTACTACGTACCCTAGAGTAGGCTAATGGGAAATTTTTTGTAAACGCTTTTGATTATAGCACTAAAAATGTTAATAAACGAGCTCAAATCAAATTTGAATTTCAACTAACAGAGCTATTAGTTAAGGTAATAATTCCAAACATTACATATGATGTGGTTGGTTAAATCACCAATCGTCTGTATTTAAATCGTTTGAACTGAGTTCAGGTTCGACTAATGTGAGTTTGTGAATTTTGTGGTTGGAATGACTAATAAGTTTGTGTAGAATTGATAAATAAGGTTGATCTAAGTCTAAGATGACTTGACCATGTTTGAGTTGATAGATGAGGTCGATTAAAAACAATAGGTGACCTAATCATGATCAACCTACAACGTCCGATCAATGCTAACGAACGAAAGGTCGAATGTGATCAAGCAGAACTAGGATATAAAGGTACAATTTAATTATGCTTTTATTGAGACAATGAAACTTGAAGACGTTAATGAGTGAGTTTCTCAGAAGATCTTTATATAAGATAAAAAGATTCAGAGTGATCTGATTACCTAAACGATAAAGTGACTTTTTACGTTATAAATATCTCGATATCTGATAAGTAAATGATGCAAGACATTACTTCACACCATATAATAATGTAAGAGAATCTTTTTTTTTATTTTTTGGTTTTTTTATAATTTGCACAAATTAGTGTAATGACATTATGTTGTGTGTCTCTATAAAATCTTAGGTTTAATATGTGGACTGATATAAACTTTTGGAGTTTCATTATTTCACATATCTACTCAAGATCAAGCTTACATCATAATAGTCTAATAGTAGAATATAGTAGAATCGTGATTTGTGAATGGATTATACTGCGAAAAAAAGCTTAAACTCGTACTTGCTTCATTTGAATAAAATTATATTAAGCTCATATTGTCGTTTAATATTCTTGACAACTATATGGATATGAATGTGATTAGGCTTTTTTACCCTCGTAACCCAGAGCTTATTTGATTCATTGATGGATTCACCCCGACTCACCCACAGTCCAATAAAAGTTGGGCCTCAATTTGTCTAGCAGCCTCATTCCGAGTCTAGCCCCAACTAAACAACAGCAGTGTCGTGGTACACTGATGACAAGATGAGGATGATAAATCCAAATGATAGGAAAAAATAAATAAATAAATATAAAGATCATAATTAGATCAAGTTTGTAATAGTGATTGAATTTATTTACCAATGATCCCATATTTTTCTGAAATGGGATTTTTGGGTTTTCTTTATTTTTGGGAGTAGAATTTGGGCATGAAAATGAGGGAGACGAGATCAGGGTTGCGAAAGAGTCCGGTGGAATCCGAGCAAACGGCCAACCATTAATATATATAGCCATCAATTTGAAGTTTTAAATTTAAAAATTCAATTTTCTGAAGCTGTTTAAAAATAAAAAGGAGAAAATGTTGGATCGGAACTAGATGGGTAATCTGCTGTTATTATATACTCCTGCAATGCTACTTTAAAGGACCAAAGAATGATCAAACCTTGAATAAATGTATTAACTGTACCCTCTCTTGACACTAAACTAATTAGTTAATTATACTTGTAATACAAGACTTAATAATTTTAGAAGAACCAAATGCAATTTTTCGTTTTATTTTGGTCTTGCCAAAAAGTATTTCTAATGTATGATATTTAAAACAATGAAATACTATAAGAATTAGAAATTTCGAATACCAAGCTAAAATTAATTGCAATATTCTCGTTTGAGAATTAGAATACCAAAATAATATTATCAGTCCGTTTGACATTTCAATCATACATAAAGAACGATACAATTCTATAAACAGAATTTGTCGCGTCCAAAATTATCATTCAAACAACACAACACAAACACATGAAATTAAATGAAATCAAATCAGGACTAGCAAATGCCGTTTGTCTTCTTCCTATCCTCAATCATCTTCCTCCACGCCGTTGTCACCTCCCTCTGCACCTCAGTCGCCGTCCTCTTCACCACCATGGACGAACACTCGTCCTCCGCCGCCAGCTTGTCGGCCACTCTGGACGGTAGCGAGTCGAGCTCGTGGATAACCCTAAGAATATCGTGGACGAGCCTGTCGGCGAGGGTGCGCGAGAAGTCTTCGCGGACAACGATGCGGAGGACCGTGACGTGGCGTGCATCGGGAGGCATCGTGTACGCGGGGACCACCCAACCGAACCTCCGCAGCATGTCCGAAACCTCGAACTCGTTGTGGCGGCTATTGTCTCGGAGGCTGAAAGCCACTAACGGAACACCTTTCTCTTTGGAGACGACCTTGAATTGCCCCGTGCCTTCTAGGGCTTCTCTTACCACGCGCGCGTTTTCTTGGCAGTTTTGCATTATGTTGCGGTATCCCTATCGGTCATATATATCACCTTACTTCTTAAAACTAAGGAAAAATTAGAGATTTAGTTATATAATTGTCACTAAATTGAGAAATAGTCTTGTAGTCATGTGTTGATTTTACAAAGCACTGTGTAAATGTAAAAAAATTTGACTTTTGGTCCTCTACCAACAAAAGCTGGTCAATTCGACTCGTTGTTGAGTTAGATATGTTGGCCAACTGTCGCGTGTATCGAAAAAGATGAAAAATAATATCCACGTCCGTGATCGGTCACAAGGACTGACTTTTGCTTGTGGACGGACCAAAAGTCAGGTTGTTTCGCGATTATAAGGTGTTTTATAAAGTCAACGCGATCACCGGACTATTTTTCAATTAAGTGTTAGTTACAAAACTAAATCTCTAATTTTTTTCATACGACCAACTGTTTGTAGTAGTGGATCAAAGTATTCGAACGAAGCAATTAATTTATGTACCTCGTAACCCAAGCGAATGAGTTGGTAGTACTGAGCAATTACTTGACTCGAGCCTGACGAAACAACATTGTAACTTGTAACCAACGTGAATGATTAATGTATGTAAATGTAAGCAATTGGTTATTATTATCTATATGCATGGTACCTTTGGAGAAGTTGAGAGTGAAAGTGGGCTGATCGGAGCCAAGATAGTTGATGTGGAAGATGAGCTCATCAGGCAAGTCTTGCTTGCTCCTCCAGATGACCCAGCCGATGCCCGCGTACACGAGCCCGTACTTGTGCCCGCTCACGTTTATACTCTTCACCAGCGGCAGCCTGAAATCCCACTCCAGCTCTGGGTACAAAAACGGCGCGATGAAACCGCCACTTGCCGCGTCCACATGAATCGGTGTGTCCCATCTGCGTAAAAGGTTACGAGATCCACATGGTCGCGAACTAAAAATTAGAAACACTATACCTATGGCGGCTAAGCACCACAAGCTAATGTATAGCTTATTTAGTTAGTTATTATGGTTCAGGGGCGGACCTGCATTCATTCTGGTCCCCCCAAACTTTTGATTTTTTTTACCTATGTATAATATATTAATTATTAGATCAAGTATATATATTTATTATTATCTCCATTAATCTATTAACTAGAGATATATGATTGAAACTATGTTGACTAGGACAAGCCAAGACCCATTACACAAATATATAGAAGATAAGCCATAAAGCCCATTATATTATATATATTATTTCTTTATTAGTAAAATAATAAAATTACTCTAATTAACATAAAAAAAGACTCAATTCAAGAGTCGAGAGATAGAGACAGAGATGCACGAAACATAGCACAGGGACGCACAACACAAGCATGCAAGGTAGAAAAAATAGCACTAATTTGCACCAACAAAGGATCGTCCGTCATTGATTATTTCGAATAATATGATCATTTTTTTTATATTTGTGAGTACTTTAATTCAGTGGCAGATCATTTTTTATATTCTACTATATATATATATATATATATGCACATTACAAACATATTATTAATTTTTTATTCTTTACTTCATATATATATATATTCAATTTATTGCATTATTCCATAATTATTATTAATTATTGTATTGCTCAGTCTATTAATTATTTTTAAATATGTTATATTTTTGTAAGTAATTTTTCACTTTTCACTTATAATATTTGGTGTTTTATCTTATTAATATAAGATTTAATTAAATTCAATGTATGAGATATATGACATCTTAATATAAAAATTTGAAATAGCAGAGCATTCAAGATATGCAATTTCACCGTGATCTTAATATTTCTGAATCAATTGTTAATGACTCTCGTGATCTGAAATAATCTCAAGCACAATTTTGATATACTAAATTCATAAGTTATATCTTGGATACAATAGAGCATTTATACTATTTATTTTATCTATTTATTATATAATGAAAATGTATGCCTCATGGTGTGTATTATAGAACATTATATATCCTCTCTAAAGGTGTTATTCAAGTCAAGACTGTCAAGTCAAGCCAAAATATTTCATGTTCAAGCTCATGTTTGATTAATAAATGAGTCAGTTCAGCTCGACTCATTAATAAACAAGTGAGATCCAACTCAGTTAATACACAAATTAAATTAAGTGTTTGAGATTAGTTCCTTTAAGTATAAGATCAAGTTGAGTTTGAGTTTTTTTAAGTCAAACTAAACTTGTGCGCAAACAGTTTTGTTCGAATAATAGCTTCCCCCCCCCCAAAGAATTTTTCTAGATCCACCCCTGTTATGGTTCTTGCGTTTAAACATGTTTGGTTTGATACGATGAACTTCTTACAACAACTCGAGCTTATCTCATGAAGAATTGAATATTTAGTCATGTAACTAACACCACATTGAGAAAATAGTCTGGTGGTTGCATTGATTTTATAAAATACCAGTAACTACAAAAAAACCTGACTTTGGTCATTCCTCCAGCAAAAGACGGTCAATTTGACCACTGTTGTATTGGATATATTAGTCGGTTGCCACATGTAAAAAAAAAAAAAAAAAAAAAAAAACAATATCCACATCAACAATCAGTTACAGGAACTGGTTTTTGCCGGTAGAAGGACCAAAAGTCAAGATTTTTTACAGTTACAGGATGTTTTGTAAAGTCAACGCGATCACTCGACTATATCTCAATTAAGTATCAGTTATGACTAAATCTCTAATTTTTTCGTTCATCTCATAAGTTTCTCTTAGCTAGTTTTTCGAAAAAGCTCGTTGAAATTTTTATTTCAATCGATTTATCAATTAATTTCACCAAACAGTAGTTTTAATTATATCAACTAGCTTCTCGGTCATCACCCATAAATTAACAACTATAAGCTCCAAATTAACTCTTGAGTTATAAGTTAACTTATCAACTATCAGTTAGTTTATCAGCTATTAGCTTCGATTTTCATACATGACACGAAGTATGCATGAGTGACACGTGTTTAACATCGACACACACAAAAGAATAAGATTTGAAATTAGGGTTGTGGATGTAACCTGTTTCTCGATTCTTTTGCTCGAGGAGGTCGTTGAGACGCTTAACGTCCTCAAACTCCCCGTTGAGCGTTGACCCGAGGATGGCGGCCACGCAGATTGTGTTCTCGTCCACCAGCTTGACTGCCTTCTCGGGGTCCATCACATAGTAACCGTCCCTCAGCTTCACCTCCTTGAGCTCCACCTCGAAATAACGAGCAAACTTCTCCCAACAGACTTGGACGTTGGCCCCCGTGACAATGTTGGGCTGGTCGTGGGGCCGGCCCAACTCCTTCATTGTAGTAACCAGAACAGGGCCGAGGCCCCGAAAGAGAAGAGCTGTTTTAAGATAAGAAGGTAAAGTACAAAAGGAGAATTCCACTATCGGTTCCCAGAATTGGACAAAAAGCATGAAAGTCGATCATTTCTTTTTTTGCTTTGGGTCCATGTGAGGAGCAGCTCGCCTATCGTCAATGTTGGGGGGAGAGGAAGTTTCGATTCGAACAGAGAGATGTCGGAAAAGAATTTGTTCTAAGGCGAAGTTCAGTCAAAGAGGTTTTTTGGGGAAGGTTCTCTCTATTCTATTTTCGGGCCTGGAACCTGTCATGAATAGCTCGCCAAATAGTGACGTCTAGGCGGAATGAATTTAGCCAATATCCATCGACCCAAGTCCACCCGAAATAGAGCTATCAGCGCGACCTCTTTGGGCAGTTCCGAGCGTCTCAATCAAAGACCAGTTGCTCCTGCTGATACCACTCGCTCACTTGCCATCATTTCTTCTCTGACGCGTCGAGACTATGTTATAACCTTTCCTTCACTTCGCTTCGCTTTGTTCGTTGGGTCGACAAAGTTGAGATGTGAAGCCATCAAAGATGAATACCCGCCACGACTTATCCGTAGAAAAAGATAGGAAAATGGTTTACGAGTGGATGATGGAAAGCGGGTATTCCCAGGTTTGGATCTTGTTTTGCCATTTCCTCTTGAAGGTGAGGCCCGCAAGCATTATGGCCTCAGACGACCCAACGGTCCCTATCCCCACAGCTGCCTCGTCGTCTCCTAGTGGGGCATTGAATAGGTGCGCGATCATGTTCACGCAACGATTCTAATTATATTGAAAGGAACAAAAAAAAAAAAGGTTGAGGAAAAAGATTAACTTATGTCAGTACTTGAGATTCAAGTTTTTGGTAGCATATTCATATCATAGAAAAGTATCAAGGTTGCAAAGTCGGCAGTCAAAATTCAAGTTGCTAATTTTTCTCAATTTAATAAAAAGAGGAATAAAGGTGTATCTCATTCGGGGCATTTATGCGGTGGCATATATACTTAATCAGCTTTACAACAACCACACATAAATATGAATAAATATGAACTTTGCGTTTGAAAATTATGTGCACAATTTTTAAATAGTATGTGCATCATTTTACTATATATTAAAAAAAAAACCATTAACAAACCAATATTATGAAATTTCATAGCATAAATAATACTTTAGTTGTAAAATGTTGATAGATGGGACTTGTTTATCGATTAACCGCAGTACAAAGGAATTTGTGTCTATTGTATAGTATTTGTGAAGCCATATACACTACCAAAAAATTATTATATTCTAATAAAAAATTCTATAATAATAAATTTCAATAGAAATTCCAACGGATATTCTAATGGTATAGCTTTCGTTAAAATGATTCCAACGAAAATATTCCGTTGGAATGTAGTTTTAAATGGAATTTGATGATTTCAACGGCTATATTTCCAATGACTTTCGACCGTAGGAATTTCCGTTTGAATTTTTATTTCCACTGCCATTGGAAAATCTACCGTTGAAATCCTTAAAATCCAACGGAAATTCCAATAGAAAACTCATTCCAACGGAATACTTTTGTTAGAATTTCCGTTGGAATAATTCCAACAAGAATAATAGCATTGAAATAACCATTGGAGTTGCCTTTAGAATTATATTGAAATATATTTCCGTTGGAATTTCATCATTTTCTTGTAGTGATAGTTTTTGAATTTTAATAAAGAGAATTAATTAAAGTGCACTGATTATTTATTTATTTTTTATTCTTTTAATTAATTGTTTAACTTTGTTGCTAAAGTCCCAATATCTCCTNTTTGCTAGCCAATTATAAATTAAACTATTCAGTCAGGCTAATTTCTCCTATTGATGATGAATACAAATGTGATCATATTACATATATAAAGTTAACAAATAATAATAATAATAATAATAATAATAATAATAATAATAATAATAATAATAATAATAATAATTCAACGATACATAATTTACATATATATAAAACAAGATTAATAAATTTATATTTGAATTTGATGATAATAACTTGCCTGCAACTCAGTTGTGACGGGGTACTCGTCCATGTCAACGTAGTTTTTGTTAATGGAGGCCATAATTAGCTTATCACACTCCGGCTCCATCCAAGTCGTCACAAACGAAGCTAGGTTCAACCGAGGGTTCCCGTCCAGCATCAGCTCGTCGTTTATGATTTGGTACGCCGCCTCCTTCGGAATCGAATTTTCCGGCATCTTAAACCTAATATTTCATTTTTATTTTATTTTTTAAAAAATTCAATACACAATTAATATATGTATCAATATGCAAATCATGCATACTTATAATTAAGTATGCATTTTCATTATAGAAAAATATAATAGATTTTTATTTATTTATTTTTTATATACAAGAATGCAGGCAAATGATATATCTATATCTATATCTATATCTATATATATTGATGAAAAATTGATTTTGATTTATTTACTTGGGGAGAGTTTCTTGAACATAACGCGAAGCAAAAGTGGAGTGAACGGCGCCGTTTTGGGCGGTGGTCTTGGAGAGAACCATGGTTGGAGATGATGATGAGGTGAATATATGTTGAAAATAATAATTTTCAATCTCCAACCATAGAAAAAAAAATCAGGGAGAAGAGAAACAAATAACACTTGCTAGGATCTTTTGTATAATTATAATTAATTGTTATGTATTTGTTCATGGCGAGTGGGTTGAGAATGGGGTTATATATATAGGGAGANGAAATATGATTAGCCTTTTTTTGGTTGCTTAAATTATGAATTATATTGTACAAATTTGAACTTATTTTACAAATAAATAATTATATTGTTGTGATTTTTCTTTTTTTGGGTGTGAATATTCCCTTTTCTTCATGGTGGAAATATGATTGCAATTTTTTTTATTGCCTACATAGTGAAGTTTATTGATCAGCGAATTTGAACTGACTGTACAAATAAACAATAATATTGTTGTGAATTTTTTTTTTTAATGCAAAAATAAAAAGTAAGTGTATGATATTCCTGAAAACCTATCAGGTGGGGTAAGAGCCTCTCCAATGCTGCTCCTCATCCATATCTATAGCTGGAGTTGTGTTGAGTTTACCTCTCCAGTGCATCTCCACATTTTTGCGCTAGATGAAATATATGAATAGTACATCGCCAGATGTGGCGATGAACTGTAGCTGCGCTATAACCTTTTTTATTTTTTTTAAGTGGTTTATTGCAGGCCTTTTTTATCTTTATTTTTTCATATGTTAATCTAATTTTATAAAAAAATATTTCAATATTTTTTTAAAATAAATTAAATTATATAAAAATATATTTTATCAAATTTAAAATACAACTTATAAAATACTCTATAATAAAAATAATTTAAAAATACTGAAAAATTATTTATGATAGAGCAAAATGTGTAATATATTAATATGTGATAAATAGTTTGACAAATAATATGACTATAAATAATTTTTTGTTTTTTTATGCTCTAAACCATATATGGTCTAGTGTGTAAATTTGCACTAATTCATATATTGTCAAAAGTAACAGTTTTGAATCGGTACATAGATGTATATGTATCTTCTTTAAGAAATTCAATTTATTACAATTCATTTTTAAAATGAATAAAAAAATAATATATCTAATGTAGAGTAAAATGTAGAGATAAGGACTGGAGATGAATGTTCAACTCTGCTCTAGAGTAGAGTAAAGTCCGCGCTAAGTAGAGATAAGGGCTGGAGATGGTCTAAGTTCTTATTATCCTATATCGTCAGGCGGCCTTTTATATGAGTAGCGGATTATATTTTGTTTCTAGCTACAGTGAAAAATAGACATTTAAATGAAAAAACATATATTTTGTTGGAAAATCTGATAAAGGTTTAATGTTACCACAGTATATATGGTAAGAAAAATTTCAAAATATGTAGGTTAATGAGAGATAAGTTATTTTATATTTGATTGGATTTATTGGATAAAATGTAACAATGTAAAAAAAAATGATTGAGTTTGGTTTGAGAGTGATTTTGAGTTTGTATTTGAATAATATTTAATATATAAAGATTAAAGTTTATGTAATGTAAAAATATAAGAGATGTAATTTAAAGTGATTGATAATTAAAATTATGCGATTAGAGTGTGATTTTGAGTTTGTATTTAAATATTATTTAAAATATAATGATTAAAGTTGATTTAATATAAAAGTGGGAGATAAGTGATTTAAAATAATGAGTAGTTAAAATTATTGAGTAGAAGAATATAGTGAATTAAAGTTGATGAGATTTGTGAATACAATTGAATGACACTACGTCAAAATTTGAATTGAATTTGTTGGGATGATCCAACTACTTTTAACCCATGGAATAGAACTTTTATGAGTCCTATAAATGAGCCAATAGTAAACTCAACTTGGTTCTATTCACTAACGCTCGAGCTTAGCTTAGTTCGATTCATAAATGAGTTGAGTTCGGGCTTTTAAGGCTAGAGTCGTAATTTATATATAAAATAGTTGTACGCATTAGAAAATGCATATTTTCAAATAAACACAGAGATTTCCCATTACCTTTGACAGATATAAGGGTTTCGTGCAGCCATTACTTGAATTCAAGAGAGTTTCACCCATGATGTAGCGTGGTAGACGATTGAGATTAAAAAAGAGAGAGAGAGAGAGAGAGAGAGAGATAATTCTCTCGATAAATTGTATATTCTTATTCAAAATCAACCACATAACATCAAATAATATGAGTCCTCTAAATAAAGCTCTCAAAACCCTAAGAATAACTTGTCCACCAAGCCAAAACTAATAAATATTAAATAATAATAATAAAAAATATGAAATGCTAATAATAATAATAATAATATTAAACACTATTCTGCACCATTCTCTTCTGGTTGATCATGATTCACCCTTGAATCTGACCCGAACTCGTTGTCGTTGTCAACCACTGTCCTACACACAAACACCGATCTCAAATGAAATTGTCCTCCGCCCATCTATTAATCGACAAAGATAATTGCAGTAGCCCAAGAAAACAAACAACCTCTGATATTCTTCAAGTTGTGGAGGGAGTCGACCCTGCAAGTATCCGCCATCGAGAACAACATGCTTGACAATCGAGTGCATAAATCAAATAACCTAAAAGCGGGACCAAATCTTCACTTCTTTATTTTGATAAAAATATTTAATTTTCAAGCACATGCGTTGTTCTCGGGTGTTATATTAACTGGCGAATAAATTTAAATTATTATATTTAATTTGACAAAAATTAATATATATTAAATAATATAAATAATAGTTCATAAAAATATTTTCTAGAATTCGAAATAATAGTTAAAAAAATTATTTTCTTATTAATTATTTATAGTTTTTTTATTTCAAAACAAGAATTTTAATTCTTTTTCACTTTTTTTTGGACAAATATTTTTGTATGAAAAATCAGTATAATTCATGGACATTATACTAGTATAAAATATTTGTGGAAAATGCGTAGGGGAATAAAAGAATTTTGGAACTCTATCAATCGCCTAAACGAATGACAAAAAATTACTGATTTGGTGCGTGGAAGGCAGAACCATAAATGAGACTCATAAGTGTAAGGCCTTGTTCATAAATGATGCCCATATGGGTACCATAAGCTATGCCACATATGGGCACCTCATTCTTTTTCATAAATGTTTGACGAGAAATTCTATGGTGCCCATATGGGTACCATAAGCTATGCCACAAGATGATGTGGCGTATGAGGTGGCCTTTTTGTTTTTAATAACAATTCCATGACATATATGATGTGGCATTTTAAAGATTTAATTAATTAAGAAACCCTTCATAATATATAGGATTGTTCCCAAAATAAATTTAAAGGATCAAATACCGTTAAACTTAGAATCAAACTTAGAATACCGCGAAACAAATACTGTTCAGATTAAACTTAGAATCAAACTAAGTTTACAGGATGAATTTAAAATCAAACTTAGAAAGTTAGAATTAAACTTAGAGTCAAAGTTTACAAATCAAACAAATACCGTTCAGATGAAAAAATGAATCATACTTGGAATCAAACTTCCATGACAACATAACATATTAAACTTCCGAAAAAAATACCGTTCAATTGATATAACTCATGGTGTACAAATATAAGAAAGTTTACAAATGAAACACCCACATCTCAACTTCATCCCATTGCACGAAAAAATAACGTTGCAATTCATATAATTAATCCTGTAAGAATATAAGAAAATTTACAAACGAAACACCCACATCTCAACTTCATCCCATACATTTGGCGGGTGATGTTACATCCTAGTTCGGATGGAATCCAAACCAACATATGCCTCTATGACCTTTAAGATTCATCTAGGAAAGGGGTAGTTCAAGTTGGTAGTCATATGCATTCTTGGGGTCACATGTGAAATTTTGTTTTGTGACGAGATTGATTTGATGGGACGTTTAGTTGAGTGCACAGAGGAAACTCAAATAGTTCTGTGGTACTATTGTAGACCAAGCCCCGGTTGAGGGCAGATATGGGGTTAACGTGCCTTGCTCCATGATCGAATGGCGTGCACTTTTTGCCTGTGGATGCATCTATCATGGAGTAGCCTCTCCACCGAAAACCGCCTAACGGCACGCTCTCCCCCCTCGCCTGCTGCCTCAACTTCAAGCTCGTCTACCTCTCCAGAAACGACATCTCCGGCCTTCAATCCAGTTCCCGGCCGCCGGTTTCTTTTCCGAATAGTAGTTCCCTGCTCAGTCAACCAACCAACCACAAATATGCAACACGAATTAGCTAGCCGACATGCACAATATTATCGGCTAATTAATCACTCAATCTGTAGAAAAATTACAATCGAATTTTTACAAGAGATACTGATAACAAATCACAAATATACCACACAGATTAGCTAGCTGGCATACACCATACTATCGGCTAATTAATCACTCAATTTGAAGAAATTGAATTGAATTTTTAGTTTACCAGAGATGCCAACATCCATGTCGGAGAATTCGTTGTTGAGGAAATCGATCAAGGACTAGGCCGGTCCAGCCCTATAGAGCGAAATTCCTCCTTTCCACAGCTGCTCGAACTTTCGCGGACAACCATCCATGGCGGTGCCGTCCAGCCCGAGGTCGCTCCCCCCATCGCAGACCGCCGCGACCACCAATTCGCCTGAAACGTACCGAAAAAAGCTCGGAAGCGGCGCAATTGTGGCATAGCCGTGGCGAATTCGGTTCTGCTGCCGGGTGAGCTCGTAGGTTGCAGGTGGAATTGGGAAATATGAATTGATTTTTGGGAACTGTTATTTGCCTTAATTGATTAAATCTTTAAAATGCATGTATGTCATGGAATTGTTAATTAAAAAAAAGAGGCCACCTCATGTATCACATCACATTGTTGTATGACTTATGGTACCCAGGTACCATATAATTTCTGCTTGTTTGACTGCTCAAAATCGAGAAAAAAGTAAAAACACACACAAAAAAAAAGAGAGATAAAAAAATGAAGATGATAATATCAATTATAACATACTAAATATTTTAATGAAATTAAAGTATTATTGAGATTTGAGCTACCAAGCAGTCTTCTTAAATTTAATGGCCTTTACCGCTTTACGTTCGAGATTGATCTTGGATATAATTTTTTTTTTATAATTCAATATTTTCTTATGGTTTTAAATTAACAAATATTCATATTTTTGTGGCTATAAATAAAGAAATTTCACAATCACAAGATCAGTAAAAGAAAACAAACAAGTGATACGCCGGGAGTTGTGAGAGCAACAACAGCAAATTCCAGTCGGCTGTAGATTTATCTCGGCTTGATACGCCGTCGTTTAGCCGGCCGGCCGTCCGTCTCTGTTTGTGGGTGTCTTCTCTCTCTCGATATACTCACATAGCTCAGCTATGTACAACTGAACAAGCACAGAGTGCAGTGATGAGCGCGTGAGAAAATAATGGGCGTTACATGCGGCGGCGACCTCCGCAACACATGGGATCGTGCCACCGACCGCTGCTCCCGCTTTTTCCCCTGCCTTTCTGATCCGGGTATTTTTTTTTTTAATTTAATTTTTCCCCTCAATTTATAGGTATGAGCATCTGAAGGTTACGGTGTTTGATTTATTTTTGGTTTGAAATGTGCTTTAGCTCGAAGATCTGTTTTATCACTGAGAGCCGCGCTGGTGGCGCTGCATCTGGTTTTTGCTGGGGTTTTATGTTTGCTTGATAGCGATTTGATTGATAAGACCAAACAGGAGCCATGGTAATGTTTGTACTTTCTGATGCTGAATTGTGCTTCAGCATTTGTCTGCTAGCAACTTTTTAGGTGAATTGTGATAAAGAATGTATAGTCTCTGGGTCGGTTCAAATGTGAATTCATAGTTGTTTGCGGTTATGGTTGGATATAAGCTCTATAATTGCCAAATGAAAAAAGAAAAAGGAAATTGAGAGCAAAACATTTTTATTTGTTTCTTGCACAGAATTTAAACCTTCACCAGCTTAGAAGACCAACTTGAATAAAAAAGTTCAACTTTCTTGCCCATCTTGCTGAAAATGACCTGAAATTTGTGAAGGTAGCTTGTCTCTGAAATCACTTTTTTAACCCCACAATTATCCAAATGTGTGGCCTTAAAATCATGAGCACTGTTCATTATGATGGATTTGGAAAATGGTGGTTTTCCTTGATTTAGTCAAAGCTGGATCTACCTAGATGCTATAGCTAAGCATAGGTCATCAAGTAGGAGATAGCTCTGGTGTATCTGGGATGCAAGTTATATATTTGTTTTTCCTGCTTAGAAAACTCTGTAGGCACTCTGCAACAATTTTGTTGATGATCTATGCATAAGGTTATGATAAGTTCGATTTTTTTTTTTTTCAACTTTATGCGGTTTACAAATTGGATCCTTGTGTTGCAAGAGAATTACTTCCCGCAATCAGAATAGGAATGCTAGGAGTGACAAGCTTGGTTACAGATATTTGCTCGTGACTTCATTTTGCTTGCTATTTTGGGGATCATGTTTAATTTACGTTCTTGTTGTCATGATACTGGCATCATAATATATATAACATCCTATCTATTCCCTTCCAACTCAGGTACACTGCCACATATGTATTCTTGTTCGTGGCTACTCTGATTCAATATTTTATTACCTCTGGGACATCTCCCGGGTAATTATATTACCACCTGTTCTCACCGCTAAGTTATCCTATTTGTAACTACTGGTGCGAAGTAGATCTTTTATTTCATTTCTCTTCAGTAAGCTTACGTTTTTCCTCTTTTTTAAATAATCTAGCTTTGTAATCGATGCACAAAAGGATGTTGACGAACGAGATGCTTCTGCTAGAAGATCATTATTGGCCTCAAAGTAAGCAAGTTCTCTTTGCAATTTAACACAAAAATAATTAGATTCTGCATAAGATATTCGTCCAAGTTTAGAAGTCACTAACTGTGATCTCTTTGGTTATGTCTTGCTATAATGTTCAAGCAAAGACAACCAGCTTCAAGCAAAAGTGGCAGTGTTGTGATCACTGTGGATGGGAGGAACTATCAAAGAGGGAATGCAACTGCTTGGACAAAGCTAGTAATGGATTTATACCCTCCTGGGACATCTACTAGGTAGAAGTACATCGAGTATATTTGGCATTACCGAACAATTCTTGACTTTGTCCATGGATTTGCCAAAGCTCCACTTGGCGGAGATGCATAGGGGTATTTTGATGACACTCAAGACAGGCCCTGCTTAATAAATAACTTAAAGCTTGTCAATGCCGCCTGACTGACTCCACATCTAGAATACGAATTAGCTTAAAGTGTATCTTTTTCTCTTTTTCGGTTATAGGGCTGATGGAAGGAGTAGATTTGCTTCGCATCTTTTCCTTTTCTGCATATAATAATTCTTGTCTATAGGTATACAGAAAGAGTTTGTGCATAATATTCATAATGGAAACATATATTCCGTGGAGGCTGTTTCTTTTCCATCCAAACTTGATTCTTTGTTAGCGACTTAATTATAGATTACACATTGCATCAAACATCTAATATGTAGGGAATGGATGTGATGAGACATCCTTAAGGCTGTGAAAATGGTAAATTGTCTATAGGTCTGTCTAGATTTGCACTAGAAACAGGATTAGGATAGCTGATGTAGACAGTAACTTCATTTTCAAATTGTCATATTGAGAGCAGCACAATGCAGAATTTGTTTATTGGAAGTGTCGATCTATAGCTCACTGATTCTCTCTCCTCTATTGGTTGTTTTCAGAAATTTGACATGCCCTTACTGCAATGTCCTTCAGGTAGTACCTTTTATCTTTCTTCTCTTATTGTTTTAATAATTTGATGATGAATCATTTCAAAGACCTTCTGGACAAATGAACATTTATATGCACCACTTGCCTAATATGTATTTATTTATTTTTGTTTTGTCCTGGTTTCCGACTCTGCTTGACTTGTATAAATGCTTTCATTCTAAGCTTGCATGAATAGTTGTGTTGTATTTTCTTAGTTTATATTAATCAATCAATCAATAACACCTTCTTATATGCTAAGCTACAGAAATCTGGCAGCTGATTTTTTGGTGCCTCATCCTGTGGAATAATAAATTCCTCGGAAGCTAAAGGGAATGTAGCTATCCTTGTCGTGCTTAGCTTTTAAGTTGTTCCAACTTCCAAAGTGTCCTTTTTCTATGATGGATGAAAAGCCCGAGTTTAGATGAAAAANTTTTTTATGTTGAATCATTTAGTGCGGCTTTTGCTTTATATGTTAAAGTTACAGAACATAATTTCTGTTTTTAGGTATATGATCTTTCTATTTTTCATTTCACTCATGGTCTAAACATTCTCTGTTTCTGATCTTAGTGTGTATTTGCATCTATTTAATAGCCTCCACGAGCAAAACATTGTCATGATTGCGATAAGTGTGTACTCCAATTTGACCATCATTGTGTTTGGCTTGGGACTTGCATCGGCCAGGGTAATCATTGTCGATTTTGGTGAGTACCATTATTTTTCTTCTTCAATCAGTTATTTCTGCTTATTGTTTCTGATCAGTTGTTGACTCTTGTATTTCTTATTTGGGGACATTTTTTCTTTTATCCATGTGTTCATTGGCTTCTTTGCGTAGTGCTTAGTTAGCTATACCAAGTATAGGCATGCATTGTATTTCCAAATTTAGGTGTCAGGCTAGAACATTTGTACTATCTGAATGTAACAGTATGGGCACTCTTCATCATAATTTTGGAATTTTTCCATGATTGTTTCTTTCATATATCTCCTTTTTTCATTCTGACTAGCTATTCTGGAGAGATTACATCTGCACCTTAAGTTTTTATCCTCGTTTTATTACTTATTGGATCTATCAGTTCGGTACATCAAAGTTTAGCTATATTCTAATTTGAAGGTGGCAATTCTTTGCTGGGAGAGGCCTTTGTTCATTCATCTAATCTTGATCCTCCTATTTATAATTTGTGATCTCGATTTAGTATCTTGATATAGTCACATCTATTTGTCAATTGTGCTTGATGAACTACTCAATGATGATCAATGAGCTACTTCACCACGTATTTTTTCTTGGACATTGGCATGCTTGAACTTGATACATCAACTAACTATACATGCTTGATTCATTACTTATAAGTTTGATGCTATTCGACTGACCTTTTTCCTATCATTTAATTTATTCATACGGTGAATCAGGTGGTACATATTTGAGGAATCAGCCTTGTGTCTTTGGACAAGCATTTTGTACATTGGGTACCTTAAGTCAAATATATCAAAGGCATGGTATGTATATAAGCTGTCTTTTTGAGTGAGGGAGAGTGTCACGTCACGTCTTCTATTTTCCTGTCATTGAAACAAAGACACTTTAAGCCTTTTCTACACAAATCAAAATTAAAATTATGTAAATCTGATTTCCATTTTGGCTTGAGACTTGGCACTGAATGGAGTTAATACCGAATACACACTAAAATGAGTTTCTTCCAGGTGGGCAGATGTAATAATGATCTTGCTTCTTGCTTCTTTGTCCATATCTCTAATCTTTCTGCTACTGCTGCTCCTGTTCCATAGGTATGTTAAAGTACCAGTGAATTTTTATTTGCTTATTTCTTTTTATCTACTATATTAAAGTACTGAAGTGGTGAATGGGTGCCTGGAAATTTCTAATGTGGCAGCTACCTTGTTATGACTAATCAAACCACATATGAGCTTGTTAGGCGGAGGCGGATTGTTTATATGAGGTTTGTTCTTAAATGCCATAGCTTATATTACTTTGGCAATTTTTGCTCTCCTGTTCTTACTTATGTTTGCTGCTGCACATTAGAAGGGATTATAAGGTCGTGTTTGTATATAAATATATCCGCTAAAAATGAGTTATTTTGATTAACCAGAGTTAATTTTGAAAAAAGTGGTATGATTAGTTGTTAATGAGATTTTTATTTTATAGTAAAATAATATCTAAAATAAAATAATTAAAGTTGATTTGATGTAAAAGTATGAGAGAGATGATGTGAAGTGATAATTAGTTAAAATTATGTGAGTTGATGGATAGTAAATTAAAGTTGATATGATGTGTAAGAATGATTGGTTGGTATTATTTAATTATATTGATAATACTGATGATAGTGGAGTTGAGTTAAAAATGAGTTAGATTTTGAGTATGATTTGAATATGGATTGAGTTTTTTGATATACAAACACAGTATTTCATGTATACTTGGATAAGTATTACAGTCTTGGAAGTTCATGCGTCAGAGTAAGATTTCGTGCTAATTTATTCCATTAGTAGCCAATCTTAATAACTTGAGAAGATGGAGATTTGAGATGATATTAGGAGAAGCTCAATTTGGATTCAAGAAAAGATTTTGATTTGATGGACTCGTTCATAATGAGAAATCGGTCTTTTGGAGAAAGATTGTACCAAAGAATATATGAATAATCGTGTTAGCACATTGATGGGCCTTTAAAGTTAAATCTGCATATGTTGTCCGATTTTGTGATGAGGTTTCTGTTTTCAGGAGCATTCCCGAAAGAGTGTACCCATTCAGTAAAGGAGTATGCAGGAATTTGTACGTGTTCTGTTTTGCCAGAAGCAGCATCCATAGAATGGAACCACTACCATCAACTCATGAGCTCGAGCAAATGTCGAGGCCTTACACTTGCTCAGACGTGTTATGTTGTCGATGCTGCTGATGTTTGCTGGGCCTCTGTAACTTTTGATCAGACAATTGCTTTTTTAATTTTTTTTTTTCTTTCAAACTGGTCATCCAAAGGAATGTATTTTCTTCTGCTGCTGTATGAGATTATTTAAAAAATATTGCAGTAGTGTTGTAAAATCTGGTCTCAGCATTGCTTAATACTTTTTCAGCTGTGGATTGTAAAATACGTGTTCCCAATACAATTTCTTGTTTATCATTTTATGTGGCTTCTTTTTCCTTGTTCACTTTTCACGAGTGATTAGTTTTATTCAATAGTTTTACCCAATTGCTAATCCAAGGTTTGTGAAAAAGTGCTCTCAAACTAAGGTTTTTGGTTGGTAGCCTAAGGAAAAATTAGATTTGTGTCAATCTATTTAACTACTAATCAAAATTGACTGTAAGGTTTGTGAAAAAATGCTCTCAAAAAGGATTTTGGTTGGTAGCATAGTTTTTAAACACGGCCCGGTGATCAACCCGGACAGGTTCTCGGGTCACCGGGTCAATTGCTGAACCGGATAATTAATTTAAAATTTTTTAAAATTATATATAGAGTATTTTTGTTATATAAATATACATAAAAGTAACAAAATTAAATGTTTTGTGTATAAAATTTGTATATTAAAGTGTTAATAATATGTATCTCATAATAAATATTTACCATATAAACATATATACATATTTTTATTTTAAAACAAAAAAAAAAAACAAAAAAAATAAAAAAAATATAAAAAATATATATGGACCGGGTCAACCGGGTTGACCCGGCCGGGTTTTGACCGGGTTTGACTGGGTCCTTGGTTGCCCGATCCAAATACTCCATCCGGACCGGTTCTGGCTCCGGGTCGACCCGCCGGGCCGGTCCGGGTCTCAAAACACTGGTTGGTAGCCTAAAAAAAGTTGATTTTTGTCATTTTTTTTAACTACTAATCAAAATTTGATTGTTTTACTTTCATAAGATTTAAACATAGCAATGGAATCAGATATCTTGTTTATCAGAAAATTTGATTCGAAGTCATGAGTTTCAAAAGCCGTAAATCAATTTTAAAGATCAATTCAAATTTACTTAATTGAGTTACAAAACTTTTTTGTGTCATTTTAGGATTATGTTAGGGTTTTTAATATTGAAGACAACTTACTTTGAAAGGTAATAAAAATGAAGTTATCTGTCAAGGCAAAAAGATTTTAAAGCAAATGTAAAAAGTTCTTAAGACCTTCTCCAATGGTACTGCAAAACGCAAAAATTTGCAGTACAGGAGCTCCAACCGGTGCCAAAAACGGATCGCAAAATGCGATCTGATCTCTCTCTCTCCTCAATTTGACGCAAATATGCGTCCGAACGCAAATTATGCGTTCCTTCTTTTTTTTTTTACATTTTGGTCCTTTATGTTATCTTAATTTGTAAACTGATTTTTTTTTTTTTTTTAACAATCTTTTAAATTGAAAATTAAGTTTAAAAAATACTAAAATTTTTCTTTTTTTTTTACTTTCATGAAATTATAAAATATGATATTTAAAATAATTAATATGATATTATTTTATATTTGTTCATAATATAGTTTAAAAACAATCTTGTGTGTTGTAATTTTTAATTTATCATCTTGTGCGTTGTAATTTTTAATATTTTGTGTGTTGTAATTTTTAAATTTTAATTTTAATGACTATTTATTTCTCCGATTTTATTATGTATATATATGATTATTACTTTATAATTAGTTTATTACATAAAGTCCAAATTCAATTGAAAATAATAGTGTGGTTTAATTTGTAAAGTGTAAAATATGTGGGTGGTATTGAAAAGTTATAAAAGTTATGTAAAAGAGAATATTTCGAGAATATTCTTTTGGGTTGAAGAATGGGTTTTTCGGTTGGAGATGAATTACTGCAAAATGGGATAAATACTGCAAAATGGGTTTGAGTATGGGGTATTCGGTTGGAGATGGCCTAAGGCAGAGTCTAAAAGGGCATACTTTGGGAGGGTAAAGAAATGCAAGAAAATCACATTCCACTTCAAAGCTGATAAACAACAAAAACCAGAGTAAATCCAAGCACAACACTCATTTGAAAAACACACAAAAATCTTCTCAAAATTCATCATTTTCTGTTATTATTCCAGGACCAACAAAAGCAACAATAATCTCAACTCCTAAAACTCTTGCCAAACTTCAATCACATCAAAACCAAATCATAACTACNATCAAATACCACGTGATCCCAGACAGGATCAATTATACAAAACAGTGACACACAGCAGATACAAGTAAAGAAGGAAAAATATAAAGTAACACCACCATTTTTCTCCTTAACCGTCATGCCTGGCCTGAAAATCCTTCATGAAGGCCACCAGTTTCTCCACTCCGGCCAGCGGCATAGCATTATAGATGGAGGCTCTCATGCCTCCGACCGACCTATGCCCCTTGAGCTGCACCATCTTCTCCTTGGCCGCCATCTTCACAAACTCTGCTTCCAGCTCGGGCTTCGCCAGTGTAAACGGCACATTCATCAACGACCTCACCTCCTTCTCCACAGGGCACCTGTAGAACCCCTTGCTGCCGTCAATGGCGTCGTACAAGATGCCAGCCTTCTTTGCGTTCTTCCTCTGGACCTCGGCCAGCCCGCCTTGGGCCACGAGGTCCTCGAAAACGAGCCCGCACATGTAGATCCCGTAGCACGGGGGCGTGTTGTACAGGGAATTGTTGTCCGCGTGGATCTTGTAGTCGAGCATCACAGGGGTTGCCGGCTGGGAGTTTCCGATCAGATCTGATCGGACGATTACGATGGTGACGCCCGAGGGGCCGACGTTTTTCTGTGCCCCTGCGTAGATCAGGCCGAATTTGGTGACGTCGACGGGTTTGGAGCAGAAATTGGAGGACATGTCGGCGACGAGGACCTCGTTCTCGCCGGCGGGGATGGGGTAATCCTTGAATTCGACGCCGTGGATGGTCTCGTTGGCGCAGATGTGGAGGTATCGGGCGCCGGGGGTTTGGTCGAGGTCGTGGAAGCTTGGGATCTGGGTGTACTTGTCGGATTTGCCGCTCCAGATGGATCTAGGGTTGCAGTACTTGGCGGCCTCCTTGAAGGCCTTGTCGCTCCAGGATCCGGTGACGACGTAGTCGACGGCGTCGCCCGGCTTGCAGAGGTTGAGAGGGGCGGCCGCGAACTGGGTGGTGGCGCCGCCTTGGAGGAAGAGGACGGAGTACTCCGGCGGGACGCCGAGGAGGGAGCGGAGGTCCGATTCGGCCTTCTGGATGATGGAGAGAAACTCCTTGCCGCGGTGGCTCATCTCCATGACGGACATGCCGGAGCCGCGCCAGTTGTAGAGCTCGGACTGGGCGCGGAGGAGGACGTTCTCCGGGAGGGTGGCGGGGCCGGCGGCAAAGTTGAAGACGCGATCCGCGGAGGAGGAGGAGGAGGAGGCGGAGGACGGCGGTGTGGTATGGAGCGCGGTGGAGGAGCAGGTGACGGAGATCGGCTTCCTGGCTGGGGAGAACGGGGACGAGAGGGTTGCGGGGAAGGCGGAGATCTGGGGGGCGAAGGGGGTCCTCAATTGGGTGGTGGTAGCGGCGGCGGCGGAGATCGACATGGCCATTTTTGTGTGAGGTGAGGAGATGGGATCTTGGAGGGAGCGTAGGGCGTCTGCAAAATTGTGTATATTTATATATGCCTTTTAATAATGAGGTTGGTGAGTGCAATCTGAATAAATTCTTCCAAATTCAATTGCAATTGCAGTATTCCAAATGAGGTTAGGTTGGTGGACTATTGATGGAATATCACTCCTTTTTTTCTTTCTCCTTTTTCCTCTTTAGATCATTTGTAAATATCTTGACCAAACTATTCCCCCTTTTTTTTGGCTTATAAGTTAAGAGAACATATCGTCACATAACAGACGAGTTCAGAGCAACAAAAAACGAGGAAAAGAAAATAGGAAGATAGTCGCTCCAAACATAGGAAGATTGCGACACAAACACCCACTTTGCCAAGTTGTGAGCCACCCCATTCTGGTCCGTTGGCACATGATCGCATTGACCGCAATTGAGGAAAAAGAGGAGGGTTCTATATCGTCAAACACTCCATGCAATGCAATGGGTCGAGATCATCTTGGTGGGAAATACCACTGACGACACCCATGGAATCTCAAAACCGACTGAAGATTGAGGTCTAAGTCATAGCAATGCGTAACCCATGTCAAATAGCTAAGGCTTCTGCCAAAAGAGGGGAAAAAGAACCAGTCATACGGGCAGTAAAGGCCATATTAACTCGTGTAGAGTCCTGGATCCCTCCGCCTAGTCCGATCTCCGAGTCTTGAACTGCCGCGTAGCAGAGCAGTTAAAAAGAATATGCTCTATATCCTCCTTCTCTTCACCACAACAACACAACAAACATCTGCCTCAACTCATTTCATATGTAATTGCATTTTAGTAATGAGGAAACCAATCCAACATTTCCAAAGGAAGTTCTTAAATTTACCTTTGATTGGAAGCCCTCAAGGTTTCGTCCACATCTTTCTGAAACAATTACCCCTGGAGCTTGATTCAGTTCCACCTGGATCATTTTGAGTGATTAAGAAATCATAAACTACCTTCACTGTAAATTCACCTTTCTTGTGCCAATGATGAATAAGCTTATCCGTGAGACCACAATGACAGACTTGATATGAGTTATGACCCAATTCAATTGATTATAACTTGGTTGATTTATTTTATATCCAATCACCTAATTCAAATTCAATTCAACCTAACTCTTCTACTTTTTATAACTATAATTAAATAATATCAATCAATCATTCTCACATATCACATCAATTTTAATTTACCATTTTTTCACTCACATAATGTTAACTACCTATCACTTCCTCCTATAGATATAATGGGTACGTTCTAATGGTCGGATTATGGTCGGATTTTGCATCCTTAGTCGCTGCCTTCTTCACACCCTTGACTTTAAATTATTTTGAAAGTCTACATTGGAGAAAATTATATGCTAATGTCCTATGCTGATTAAGCTTCATGTACTTTGTTGAATACAATTTTTTATTTGTATTTAATATATTTTATTTTATTTTGTTTAAAATATCTAGAAAATAATATTTGTATATGATATGATTTCATTTAATTTTATTGAGTTCTATTCTAAAGACGTATTTACTTGGAAAGGAATGTACCAGTACAAGAAACAGATAAAGAAAGAGAAAAAAAGACGCGGGAAACATATAGCAGATTTCTTGTACAACCAAAAAAAACACCGAGAGCAGAGTAGTCCGGGCAGACAGAAAAGTGATGAGCAGCAGTGTGTGAATTTCTAAGAGCTGCAAGGAGTGATTTTAATTCTTCAGTTTATTTTTTGCCGCACAATATGAGAGAAGCATGCACAAATATTTCTTGTGTTGGTATATGTGTCTTAGAGACAATCCTTTTGAGGACATATATACATGATCACATTAATAATTATATTGGATTATAATTATGGTACTATTAATTAAATAATTGTTTGATTGTTTGCAATTTATTAATTAATTGCTCCATTGAATTAATACTGTCACTAACAGAGTGAGATGTTAATTGATAGAGTATAACTCTCAAATCGCATCAACCGATGATCATTAAGAAAAGGATATTAATGATACGCGATAGATTGACATGTGGTCTGCATCACATTTTTAGAGAATATAGTATGTCTCACTACTATGAATAATTGTTATTCGTGATGGACACATGGATACTTTGGAGGGTATTGACATACCCTACCAATAAACCATTTGTTTATGTGTCTATGGGAGTATCGGTGTGTGGAATGGTGTAATAGTCCTTTGCGCAATTCATGTATAGAGTGATTTACTTAGACCTAGTCCAAAGCTTACGCCCTTATGGGTAGATACGGGCTTGTGTTGGGTTGGTCACGATATACATGGAATTGGTAGTTGAGCCAAGATAGGATTCATTCATCGAATATAGTTTCGAGAGAACACTCGTTTTCTCTATACTGGGTTGATAAAGTCATTGGCCAATGCACGTGATTATATTTGAAATGGTGTTCAAATATAGTTGATAAAACTCAACCAGTGAGATGAGATTAAATAATTAAGCTGTTTGGATAGACACACGTTCAAATCCTAAGCTTAATCAAGTGGTTCGTGAATGAAGGGACCGTATCACTATTGAATTCTACACTAAATGTTTGTTTGCTTGTCCATGTAAATGTACTTCATATTTTGAGTTCGTCCTTCGACGCAGTCTAGGAGTTTCGTAAGGATCATAAATTAGATTTATGTCAATATATGAAGGCCTATAGGGTCACACAATATGTAATCAGTTTTCCGACTAAGAGTGAATCGAGAGTGTTAAATATTCAATTATATTGGAATATTTATTTATGAGTAATGAGATTATTTTCTATTTGATAGATTGGATTTATACTTAATTAGTAATGAGATGATTTTCTATTTGATGGAAAATATTTAATTAAATTAAATTAGATTTATATTTAATTAAAATATTAATTGGATTAGGTCTAATTACCTATTGGGATGTAGGGTATCCTAAGGCCCATATAATTAGGTTTTGACCTAATTATAAATATCTCATTATCTCTTCATAATCATTAATCGTTGGATCGATAAGAGAGACTTTGAGAGATCCCAAACATCTTAGAGATTGAGAGATCAATAAAAGACAGAACACTCTCTAGCTTTCCGGATCGAGGATTCCTAGCTTCTTCACCGGAAGGGATTCATTGGTGTTAGATCGTGCATCAGGAAACTGGATTGCGTGGATACCATAGTCGAGGACAAACGACGAATAACTGTAAGTTTTCGTGTATCATTCACGCGATCTAGGATCATATCGAATAGTTATAGCCGGATCTTTGTTGTTGGTAAGAAAATTTTAAAAATTCCGCTGCGCGTACGTACGTCTAAATCAAACATCTTGATTAGCACCGTCTGTTTTTGATCAACACTAATATTTCTTGATTCATCCGAAAATCATTCGGGTTCGACATTCGACATTCATCAGAAATTTTTTTCCTTTAGACTTTTTTATTTTATTTTTGTTCGGCTAATTTATTATGAATCATATTTGATATATTTGATTTAGATGTGTCCGAACGTTTGAGATTTCGGTTTAGTTTTATATATCACTAGTTGAGTTTGAGAATTTGGATTGTACATTTCTAGTGAAATATTTTGGCATGTTGCCTTAGTTTACAAGTGTTTTATCACTTATAAGCTAAATTTTTATTTACAAATTGTTTTATCTTTGTAGGCTAAATTTTTATCATTCTTGTCCTATTAATTTCTGCTGCGTATTTAAGTTTCATTTTGCTCGTCTTGAACACACCACTAACATATTTACACAATTTACAATTGGTTAATTTAGTTTCATTTTGCTCGTCTTGAACATACCACTAACACATTGACAAAAGCTACATAAGTTCAACATAAACATTGTCTGCTGAAGCAAGAGACATGTGAGATCCTCAAAGCAACAGTAACGTTAGTAGCCATTTTAAGATCCACCACAAATTGAAAATAAAATTAGACATTTGCTCTGAACAAGAAATAAATGTATTTTTATTACTCAAATAATCAAATGTAGTAGGTGTGATGATGAATCAGTAAAAAAAAAAAACAAGTGCAGGATTTCTGCCTCTCATGAACATTAGAATTAAAATTAATCCTCCCCCCTGGGGCAACTGAAAGTTGCTACTATTTCCCCCCCAGCTTAACAACTATTGCAGTTTAGTCCCCCCCACAATAATTTAAGTGTGTCACACAACAATCAAACACAATTACACAGAAAATCACATTAATGTCAGCAGTAAAAAACTATTGTGGTGGTGTTTGTACAAGAAAACGAGCTGGCTCGCATCTCGCTGCATATCCAAATTTCGACGTATTGTATTTCCTGTGAACTCCAGTCAATTTTCCGGTGGCCGCATTTTCATGGAGCCCGACAACCATTCTCGAGCATTCCCTGAAAAAAGATGGAGATATTTAAAAATTAAAAAAAAGAAAGAAAAAAAGATAGTTGATTTTCTACAAGTAGACAAATACTCACAATAGTTGATCTTCCGAGTAACCCGTGTGCCACTCGCAAGTCTTACTCCATTGATTGACACCATAGATTGTCGATTGAGCAGTGCATATTGCAACAGCAGCAAGAAAGGAAGGCGGGTACTTGAGCATCTCGTATTCCACCAGACAAAGCTCGATCAAGAAGAAGGACAGTAGCTCAAGCTGTTACAAACCGAAAAAAACTTTGAATCGTTTTTAAAATGGTAAGTTTATAAAAGTTATTAAAGTTCGAATGAACAAAAAAGAACCTTCTTATCAGATTGAGCGGCCTTGAGGAACCTTCTCATGAAAACATAAGGAGTCGGGACAGACATATTGAACTGCAACGTGTTGAGCATCAACCTCTCCTAATAATGGGAAATAAATAATAAAGATTTGATTTTTATTCAGAACAGAACACTAATTGTGGTTTAATTTTTTACTGGGATCAAAATATGATTTACCATTTCAAGAACTTCTTGTCTCGAGTAAGCTTTGTCCGAAATGAACACTAAATCATCGACAACAGGAACAGAAACTTCTTCGTACTTGCAAGCCAAAAGCATCGCCACAAGTCCAACGAGCTGAAGCTTTTTTCTCACCACCGATTGCTTTGCCAAGAAACGGTCGATTAAGTTTACGGTCAGAAATAACGTCTCTTCCCGAAGTTCGAATTTGTGGTGCACCTGAGTTTCAGTCCAAGATTTGTTAGACCTTCTTCTTAACTTAGTGAAGCTATTTTTTGTTTTTCTATTTTGTTTTCTACCTCAATGAGCCAGTCAACGAGAATAGCCCTCATTCGTTCGTTTATGTCAAACTGTTGCGCCATATAACCTGGCGAGACACAGCTACAATTCTGCAAATAATAATATAGCGGTAATTATATTAATTCTCCAGACAAGATAAATTGACATGGTTCTGTAAATTCTATTTGAATTGCAAATTGCTAATTTAATATGCAGACAAATTCGAGATTCTATTGGAATTGCAAATTGCTAACACTTAAGGAGTCAACAAGATTCATATTAGTTAGGAACTTCACATAGGTATAATAAATCAGATTCAGATAGTCATCAAGAAAATCCATGATTCCATTATTACCTCCATTTTCTTGTAGTAAGCATATAGATCATCGACATATTCAACAACGGCAAGCGGATCCTTAACATCACCACCATCAATATCGGCCACAGTCTCCTCAAATATGTCCTCCATCTCAATCTCCTTCTGCAAGGATTCAAAGAGTCATCTACCAGATTTCGACAAATAAATCGAATAATGCTCAAGAGTTCGAAATGTGGGTCGATTATACCATTTGATTTTTGTCGGCCATTTCGAACTCTGGATGTTCTAAGGACATGGGTACAGGCTGTTCTTTAGCTGCCTCATGATTTTCCTCTGCATCTATAAGAGGAATATCCTCCCATACAGTGAACTCTGTGGCTGATGATGATGATGATGTTTTTGCTTTCTTTGATTCCTGAATTCAAAATTTCAAAACATAAATACATAGTCCACTTTTTTCTCCATCTTTTCGCATGGAAAAAGAAGTCAACCCACATGACTAGTTCTAACTTCTAAACACATGAATTCAAATTTTGAATGCAATAAAAATAAAAATTATATACTTTCTAATTCCAGCTCAAGTCAGCTAACTGAAGATGCAAAAGAAATGATTGAAAAAGATAGGAGCTTTCACCTCGGGGCAAGGAGGTCGAGAGACAGCCATTTGAGCAGCATATTTCCTTAAATAATTAAAGAACAGAAAATAAAAATTTACGTCAGAAAAAAAGATAAAATTTAGGAAATACGAGCTCAAATCTTATTTGAAATTATGGTTCACTACAAATCTGACCTTGTGATCGGCCTATGTGCTTGCACGGGACCTTTCTTATCACAAGCCACATTCGATCTGTAATCATATACTCGATTTAAACACAGCATTACCCAAAATGACTATAAATTCAAAAATATTTGATCTTAGGAGCTAAGATTCGTACTCTGTATATCCTCTTTTGTTAACAACACAAGGGTAGGGATTAACAGCGCCTAAATTGTGATTAATCACGCTTAAAGCTCTTCTGTTTGCCCTAATCTCTGCCCCAAATTTCCTCACACCCACATCTCCCCCACCTTTTATAACAAAAAGAAAAACCAAAATGAAATCTTGTAAGAAATTGAATCAAGATTTGAGCTAATGTGATTTTCNTACCAATGGAAGTGAAAGGAGAGTGAAGGGGGTATTTGTGCAGATGAAAAACACAGTCTTGGTGAGCTGTTTTTTTTTTCTATTTTAGTTTTTTTTGTTTTGCCCTTTTTTTCAAATCTAACGGCTACTGAGAGAGGTGTCCGTTGTGTTATTGCAATGTGGGATTAAAGAAAGAGAATATGTGGTTAGGGCATAACGGTCACCTGTGCTATCCACGTGGCACAGGGTAGGCGTACTTTTCAAATTGTTTTTTATTTTTATTTTTTGAAAAAACAATGGTTGTTGATGTCTTGTTTGGATTTTTAATTAATGTTTTAGTTTTGTAAAATAAAAATAATATAATAAATTAATAATAGTAACAAGGCTCTGGGTGACAGGGGCGCTCTTCCCCACTTTAAGCCTTTTGACTGGTGATAGTTAGGGCTCTGATTAATTTAATTAAGCCATGAATGTGCACAAAGATGTTACGTTAATCAATTTCCGGTACTTGAACAAGACACGTGGTAAATAATCTCCAGTTTGCCATATATAGTAGCTATGAATTTTGGCCTAGATACTACTTTTATAAGTCAATTTTGTTATATAATCCGAAAAACTATATATATAAAAAAAGAAAAGAATTTCAAAAAATTAAATTCCCCAAAAAGAAAATTAAAAGGCAAGTTTAAACAAACCTAAGGGGGTTTATCGTTTGAAAATTTTAAAAAAAAATTAAAATTTTAAAAGTCTTTTGAGTATTTAACTTAACATTTTTTAAGATGTTTAGAAGTCTTGGTATTCATTTGAGATCTTCAAAAGTCTTACAAAATCATGAGTTATTTAAGATTGGAATTTATTACGATTTTTTAAGATTTGCTGAAATTTCAATAGAAAAACTATTTATAAAATCTCACATCCATACTTAAGATTTCATAGATTTTTTTCAAAATCTGAAAATCTTAAAAAAATTCTCAATCTCAAAATTCTAAATGAACACATTCCCCATAGCACCCACCAGAAAAATGGTGAGACAAGATAAAAAGAAGTAATTTTTTATTAAGAAAACGAATGAAAAATCCGAGTTATAAGATGCATGATTGACAAAAAAAAAAAATGGACCACAATCATGTGAACCATGATCATATATGATGTGCATAGGATATCGTCCCATCGAGATTTTTGGATGAGCCGTCTCTCTCTGTTTGTGTTGAAAACCACGAGTGAGATCAACATGCAAGCGCCAATGAGGTCCCTAGTGTAGATACGTTGACACTCAAGTCAGCCACTAAATTACTAAAAATATTATATAATTTGTAGAGATGGGAAGATTGTGTTAGAAAGTGGGCATAAATATTAATAACTTACTCCCCAAGTAAGATTTGACAGAATTTCATATAAAAGCAACACCTTTTAGGCTTTTTCATTTTAATTACAACATTTATATATTAGCAATTAAGTACATAATATTTTATAGTTTTGCAAATCAAAACACGACTTCCACTTCCAGCACCGATATGCTGACATGGCCCTCATAATACACATGAGGACCTCGTTTATTAAATTAAAAACTGAAAAAGAATAAAATAAAATTCACTTTGCTTGTTCATGTAAGAAATTATGGAGTTAAAAGAACAATATACAACTCATTCATTCTTACGGAGAGTAAAAATATGCAACCCACAAAATGATAAAACAACTAGAAGTTGATACATACTCGTCCGCCATTAGTGCCTTCACTATAGGAACCAAAGGATATATATATTTACAAAAATTGAAGAGGAAATTTAGCACCGAGGGTTCTGATGTTTTTTACAGAGGTTTTATTACTTTCTTCTTTGTCGATTTGTGAAGATGGGATTTTTAAAGTTTTAGGGTTGTCTTTTAATTCACGCGATGTGAAATTTATTTTATCCATTTTACTTTTTAATATAATAAGCAAGGTCCACATGTGCATTTTGATGGGCCATGTCAGAATTTTGGTGCTAGAGGTGGAAGTTGTGTTTTGGTTTGCAAAATTACAAAAGGTTGTGTACTTACTTGCTAATATATAAAGGTTGTGACTAAAATGCAAAAGCCTAAAAAATGGTGTTTTTATATGCAATTTTGCCATAAGATTTCCATACAACATACTCCTCTAGAATATAAGAATAGACATATTTAAATAGAATAAGATTTTATTTACATTTATCAAAATATTCTAGAAATCATAACAAAACTCTCAAGCTAATTTAATTATTCAATACCGCTGAACTCCAACTAAAATACGGGCTATCCAGGTTAATTTAAAGGTCATATCATTTAGTCTCTCCCCCCCTCCCAATCTAGCGTCGTAAGCGAGATAAGAGCCCAAAAAGTGAGAAAAGTGTCATTCATGATTCATCACAACCAAATACCTCATTTAAATCAACTGAATGCGTCTAAGATCAATAACAACTCACTAAATACCAACTGGATCAGCTTATGTTGTTCAAAATGAGGTTATAATCCAAAACTCCGAAACGCTTGTCTGACCCAACACGAGTTATACAAAATCAGATTTCATAAACATTCACCTAACCCAGCTCGCAGTTGTTCCAAGCCTATATTCAACAAATATGTAGTCCAGCCCGAGTTTTTCAAAACCAAATTTATGCCATCAAAACTCTACATTATAGAAACAAATCTGGTGTGTAAACGACCTCGACCGGCTCCTGCAACCTTGGATCCACAATCGACCAGTTCAATATACCTGCAAAACAGCAGTAGGAGTTGTCCCAGCGTAGAGACCCTGATGATCAAGTTAGTATGTGAAATGAAGAAGTTGATGAACAATAAAAGTATAGCTTGTCAGCATATAAGAGTGCGTAGAGTTTGGATAATCATACCTCACTTTTTTATATGGGGGTGCTACCTTGTTGCCCAAGACTGCTCGATTAGGTTGCCCGGTTGCCGTGTTAACCGTTTATACCATAGTTTTTAAACCCGGCCCGAAAATCGACCGGGGCAAGTCTCCGGGTCACCGGTTCAACCGCCGGGTCAATTACTGAAGCGGATAATTAATTTTAAAATTTTTAAAATTATATATATAGTATTTTTAACATATAAAGATACATAGTAGTAACAAAAATAAATGTTTTGTATATAAAATTTGTATATCAAAGTGTTAGATAAATTGTATCTCACAATAAATATTTACTATATCAATATATTTACATAGTTTTTATTTTTTATATAAAAAAATATTTAAAAAAATAAAAAAATATACATGGACCGGGTCAACCGTGTTTAAAAATATACAAATTTTGAATGCAATAAAAATAAAAATGTACTTTTTGGGTCAACATCCAAGAAGTTGGTCAATTGCTTCGTAAAACTCACGTCTTCTGAATTTGAAACTAGTACTAATCACGTGCGATGCTCGGGCAAGTGATATTCATTAATATTTATAAATTAAAAATTTTCATTAAATAATATTATAAATAAAAAACATGGAATCAATATGTAATATAATGTACCTATATTAATTTATTGAAAATATTATATAAAATTTAAATGTGATTCCATAAAATAATTATTTTAGTAAAATTTTATCATATATTTAAAAATCTATGTGAATAATAAGTATAAATATAAAACTTACATTGTTTCATTAATTAATATGAATTTATTTTTGTATAAAATATCCAAATCAAAATATTTAAGTAGTTGAGTAAAAACAATCAGTCATAAGGTTTTTTATGCAAAAAAAAATCGACACTACTTATCATGCTAAAAAAAATGAACAGTGCATTTCACACAAAAATTATTTGAAATGTCGTAAAAAATGAATTAAATCGATACCCACTAATTATACAAAAAAAAAAAAAAAAATGACCAGAGCTTTTTCTATAAAAGAAACATCGATACACGCACATTATATAAAAAATATCCGTTCATATTATTTTGTTGGAGTACGGTAATTGTATTATTTTAATTTCATACGAAAAAAGTGTAACTCACGCCTAAAATCAATATATTGGCCTGCTCTACAAAAAATAAATTCGTCCACTTTATACCATTTATTAATTAATTCAGTTTGAGCTAACTGAGCCAATGGGGATATGCCGACAACAGATGAAATGGAACCAAGAGCTGAAATACCAGCGCTTAGCCCTAATCCCAATGCCCTTACTCAAGGACCTATACCGGAAAAGAGAAGAGCGGATGGTTTGAGTAATTCAGGCATCTTAAAAAATGGCTTACTTACTTCCTTAAATAATGAGCCGCAATTTCTATAAGTGATCATTTGATATATACCATAAATAGTTAAATTAATTTCTCAAAATAGTAAATAGATTATTTTTGGAGGGAAATAGTTACTATTTAAAAAATAATAAAACCTTTTATATATATATATATATAGATGAGTCTGGTAGGTGAACTTGCATACTTTCTCAAACTTCAGGTAAAACAAGGTAAGGATAATATTTTTCTCCATCAAAGTAAATATGCCAAAATCTTGTTAAGAAGTTTGGTCTTGAAAATGCTAAACACAGGTCCACACTAATTTAAACTAATTTTCAATCGGGATCCCCTTTCTCTCCCTTGACGACAAACCCTAGCCTCTGCTTGTAAAATCTCGTCCACTGTGTGCCTTCTCCGGCGATTAGCCAGCCTTTTCGCCGGCAGATGGCCTATAGCTGCGTAATCCCGCCCCAATTTCTCCCTCGCTAGTGCTTCTGCGCCGATGGAGCTTCTCCTCCCAAGCCGTTGGCAAGTCTCGCCGTCTCCATCTCGCCGGTGGTGGTTCCGTCTGCTGGTTCTCCGAGTTGTGGCTATGGTGGCTGGCTATTGGTTGGCTCCATTTCTGCTCGGTCCCTGGTGGGAGCTTGTCTGCTGTGCGCCTGGTTCATGGTGGGTTATTTCAAGGAGGTGAGTGATTGTGGTTGGGGTTGGGTGCGACCCATGTGGCTTGGCTTGTCTGTGACGCGTCAGCTGGGGTTAAAATGGGTTGATTTGAGCCCCTGTTTCCACTTTGTCGGAGTTGTGGAGTTGGAAGCCTGACAAGCCCGGATTTTGACCAGTGATGTTTGG